AATAAAATAAAACAAAAGCAAAAATGTTAAACTATTTAAATTTTGTGTATTATCACTAGAACATAACTATATTTAAATCATAATAACTTAATAAATAATTTAACATATTAATAAAAGTTTCTAAAATTAGTCAATTTAACTATAAAAAGGTACATCTCATTGAATATATCATATAATACTATTAAAAATATAAATAATATATGAATAAAAATAAAATTTGATGGTCAGGTGCAATTCATAATTATAAAGTTAACCTTAGAAATATCTATATAGATTAAAAAACTATTAATTTTTTAAAAATATATATTTTTTCTTACATACTATTTTATAAAGAAAAAATAAGTTAATAAAAAAGCGATGTATAATAATATAAAGTATAACACTTGGTAATTATGGAAATATATAATATATCTAAATATTTGAATAGATACTATATAACTCATTATATAGGTTGAAAAAATGAATTAGAGAAATAAATACAAATAAAATGAAAAGATAAAAATAAATATTTAACCATAAAAGTTTATGTGTTGCATAAGGACTAAAGTTACTAAAAATTAAAATTTATTTATTAAAGTTTTGAACATTTAATGCAATGACAATTATGAATTATTGAAAAAATTATAATACTATGTTAAACGGTAATTTTATCAGTACATACAAGTAATTTGTATGCAAATATCATATGATCTTATACTTTCATAATATTTTATAAACTAATAAGTAAAAAAATTATATATTAACCAACCCAATATAACCTCAATATATATTTTAATTTAATTTATTTAAAAATTATAATTTTATTCCAAAATATATCAAGTGTGGTCTCTATTTGTAAAAAATGAAAAATAACGAATTTCTATATCTTTTGTATTTTTTTAAAAAAATACATTTATTCAATCAAAATAGGACAAGTGTCCCATTCTCCTATACTATACAGGTCACGACCCAAGGTCACAATGTGACTTGGGTTGCTCAATTTCCACGCCCTTTACTTTTTTTTTTTTTTTTTT